CTTGAGTACCATGGATTCTCTAATGGATAGTGATTCACAAAACACATTCATGAACCAGAGCGCTCTTACTAATCCAAGTACCGAATCAACACTCAAGAGAATTATTTATCTACTTCTTTCTCAAGAAGGAATGGATTCCACCTCGTATAATAACATTCCCAGCTACCTATTTCATTATGTCTCCAAAATACAAGGAATAGGATTCATGGTCTCGGAATCCGTACCGAGTAAATCAAAAGACATAAATCCATAAATAGGAGTTTGTTAAGAACTCAGGATTAAGATCATCCTATATATGACCATCGGTAGACTCAATTAGAATTTCTATGCTTAACGAAAATTATTAGAAATTCATATTGTGTCTGTGTCCTTGTTCCATATAATCTTATTATGCGCAATACACTCATTTAATATCTCGCCATATTAACAGTGCGGATAACACCGTTCCATTCTAAATGGGAATGACATGTATTAATAATGTTTTAATTAAAGATTCCAAACTTTAATTAAATTCATCATGAACAATGTTTTTTATTATTATCCTTAAACACTATCCTCTTGTATATAACACTTATATACTATGTTTAAGGTTACATAAACAATCACGGAATTTTCATTTGATATTCATAAAATATTCATAAATATATGCACATAAAATGATGAATAAACTCTTTTATTAATTAAATAATAAATATCCTATTACATCTCATGCTTCTAGGACACTATTCTCAACATTTTTTACCCTCTTTCTCTTTCTAAAAGTTTCTGTCACTTCTCTCTCTAAAAGTGGGTGTTTGGATGAATAGAAAGTTGGGGTTCTTAGTGGCAATGGGTGGGTGCAGGTGGGGATTGACTCTCTTTCTCTTGGAGTTATGATTGTACGAAGATGGGGAACAAAATGAGGGAAAAAAGAAAAAGAAAAATAGGGAACGAAGATGGTGAATTTTTTCAATAAAATGGAGAATTATCTTATTAGAATGATATAAGCATAATTCCTCTTTTAATTCTCACTAAATAAGTGACATGTGGCAAGTCCGTCACTTATTGTAACAGAAGAGGAAAACTTGTTAACAGAACAAAGTTCGGGGGGAACATATGTTAGTTTTTAAAGTTTGAGAGGCAAAGTGTTAAAAGAGTCATTGTTCAGGAGAAATTTTTGAAATTAATCCTAAATTTTTTTGGATTAATTTCAAAAATTCCCCATGAACTAGATACTTGTAACACTTTGCCCTCCAAATTTTAAAACATAACATCCACTCTTCCCGAACTTTATTTCATTAACAAGTTTTCCCATTCTGTTATAATGAGTGACAGAATTCTCCATGTGTCACGTACATGACCCATCTGAAGAGGGTATTATCATAAAATACCATGTCTTCTAGTGGACGTTTGGTTCATGGATTTAGAATCATGATTCAAAACTATTCTCGATTTACGTGTATTTTTTGTAAGAGAACAAACTACAACGAACCACGAATTATAATTCAAATCATGACACAAATCCACTAACCAAACACACTAATAGTCCATCACCACGTCTTCTTTCCTCCCTGCCATTGGCCTCCATTATGTTTCTAGCTTTTATTTCTCTCGGCATTTTGATGATCTCCGACGCGAAAAAATCCGACTTGTTGGCGTTAACTCTTTTCGTCTTTTTCGAGTGGAACCAAATTACACCTCCGGTGAAGAGGGCGAAAACAAGCGCACCGGCGGTGACAACTCCGGCGACAGCCCCGGGACCTTGCTTGCAGAGCTAGTTATGGCAGGAGGACGATTTACTCTCTTTATATGATGTCGATGACGCCGAATTAGACCCCGTCGGAGCCAAAGACGGAGGCGGTGATTTCGCCGAAGATGGAGACATAAAAACAACCGTCGGCGGCGGCAGAGACCACGGCGACGAACTAGAATTTGGAGAAATTGATGAGTCCAAAGACGAAGTGAAACTCCACCATTCTACGCTATGAATCTCGGTTCCCTGGGTCGACCCGGGGAACCCGACGTACATTATGTCATTGACTTACTTGTCGAGATCGAGAGGGAAGGAGAGAATTAGGTTTTCAGGTTTCAGATTAGAGTACGAGACAGAGACATTGAAGATCTAGGTCGACTCGTCGTAGTCGATCCAGCGGTACAAACGTAATTGCGATATTAATTATTACTAAATAAGTGATACGTGATAATTTTATCACCTATTATAACAGAAAAGAAAAATTTATTAACGGAACAAAATTTAAGAGGAGCAGATGTTACGTTTTAAAATTCAGAAGGCACAATGTTATAAGAGGCATAGTTCAAGAGGAATTTTTAAAATTAATTCAAAATTTTTAATTACAAAAAGACCCTTAAATAAAATGATAAAAAAGGACAATAGATTTAGGTCTCGATCGTTTTGCCGATTTGAATTTTTAATTTGAATTGAGATGTGATTTTATGTGAGAATAAACATTATAGCAGAAAAAATTAAATGTAATTTTTTATTTAAGAAAATATTGTAATAAAAATTAGAATTGTAATTCGAATCGGTAAAATAAATAATGTCTAATTATATAATTAAATTTTAATACAAAAAGAAAACTAGTAATAAATGGTCTTTTTTTCTCTCTACACATCCTAATATAATATTTGCAAATTATAAATTATTTCTATTTCAAAAAACCAAAGCAAAACCTTATTTTCTACCTTTCAATCATTATTACCTGGAGGTAATGTTAAAAAAAAGTTTCATGCAATTACAAAACAAAACACAATAAACAAAAGTTGCTTTTGAAACATTTTTTGTTGACTCTCTTCCTAGTTCTGTGCTAGTTGATGTACTGGAGTGGAGTGCGTCTGATCAGCGGCTCCTGGTTATTCCTTTTGTTGGCTTATTTATTTGGCCTTTGGTTTATAAAAGTTGTTAATTATAAAAAAAAGACAGTAAATAAAAAAAGGACAAATAAACAAAAATAGAAGAGGAGAGGGGTGTAAATAAAACCATCTTTAATAATTTTATTAAGATAGGTAGGGGTAATTTTATAATAATAAGAGTGTGTAAAAAGAAAATTTAACTATTTAAAAATTATGTGAGGTGTGTAGTTAAAAGAGGTGTGGAGAGTAAAAAAGTTTAGCAAAACAACCAATCATATTAGAGTTAGGATGGAAACATAAAATTTAAGGACTATTTATGAAAATTATTTTTTATATTGTTTTAGTGCCTCAACTTTAAATATTTTCATTTTTGGCACTAAATTTTCACATATTTCGTTAAATATTTAACACTTAGTTAACAGAGAAATTGAAATTAAAACAAAGTAAATCTCAAGGACAAATTATGAGACATTATAAAAGTAAGAGATTAAAGTATGATAGAAGATAAACTTTAAGAACTATTTGTGGGATAAATCTTAATGTTTAAGAGTCTTTTTGATTCATGTGGTTAAATCAGTGATTTAATTCATTAGTGAGAATTTTATGAGAGAATTATTGATGAGCAATTTTTAAATTTAAATTTTTTATTAAAAAGAAGGGAGAAAGAAGAAAATAGGCCAAAACTTGAGATGAATTAAAATTAATAGGCTAATAGTTTATATAAGTTAATAAATAGGCCAAATTACTGTTTGCGTTCATAACTTGTCTGGTTATGAACTATAACTCATGACTTGATAAGTTATAGCTTATTAATTTTTATAATTAAAAATTAACCTACATACTTTTTTAAGCTTTTCATATTGACTTATTTTTTACTATTTTTCTAAAAAGAAATACTGTAACAAAATAAAAGGATGAGTTTAAATACATTTGTTAACAGGCCCTGAGAAGTCCAATAGAAGCAAACATATTCGAGGTAGAATCCTGCCGTTAAATGATATTTGAAAGTGGAGGGATATTTTCTTTTCTTTTCTTTTCTTGGACTTGGATAGGAAATGATGCTTTGTCGTCAAAAGCCATAATGGCATCTCCACTTTCGCATCTCTCTTTTTTTCTTCCTCCTCTTCTTCCTTGAATCCGTTCCTTTCTTTTTTCTCCACATTCCACCTTTTTTTTTTTTTTTTTTCTATTTCTTGCTTTTGTGACTTGTGACCATTTTCTTCTCTTGCAATAACCATGAAGACTTCCTCAGGTGAGTTCAGTCTCTGATTCTTCTTTTTGCCTCTGTTTTTTTTTGCCCCATGATTTCTAGTTTGCAGTTCTCTTTCTGAGCTGTTATTTGATATCTCTGGAGACTACCCAAAAGTTGTTTCTTAATATAAAAAAAAAAAAAAAAAAAAAAAAAAAAAAACTGTTGATGTTTAGGTTACTCTTTTTATGTTTTTGGTTTAATATTGGTTTTTGAGATTATGTAGTGCAATTGGAACTGGGGTTACAGTATTAAACTTTGTTTTGGGGAGTTTAAGTTTCGGGTTGTATGAATTATTGGTTCTCTTATTTTATTGGAATAATTTTGGCAGATTGCATCTGAATTAATTATCTTGTATCTGATTTATGATATCAATATACACAAACATAAGTACATGGGAAGGCATATGTGTAGTCTGATTTTTGGAGTTTTGACCATATTAGCTATGTTGAGATTAAAAAACAAAACAAAAAAAGTAGTATGATTTGTCAATTTTTCTAAAAGATTATTTTCTTTAAAGCATAAACTTTGGCTGCCCTTGAATTTCGGGAAAAAAAAAAAGATAATACGGGAGAAGAAAATGATCAAATTTGCTTCATGGAAGAATTCCTTTTCTGTTGTAAGAACCTGACAGTGGCATTTTCCTTTAGAAATGATAGGGATGTCGTCTATTTTCCTTTTTTTTTTTTTTAATACCAAGTGATGTATCGTTAGTGAATAATCATTTTCCAATTGGTGAATCTATTTACAGAGTGTTTGATGTCACTTAGTACAAAAAAGTCGGTAATATAGATAATTTTTTCTTTCAAAACATGAAAGAGCCACAGAATGTTCAACTTCTTGATCAAATTTCTATAGTCTGAGCAAACAACAATTCTGGGCTTATCTAATACCCGAATCTAAATTAGACAAAGTAGCGTAAGTTTCAATAGCACTGGAGAATTCTGGCCCTGATACTTAGGCATTTAGTTATATAATAGTGCTGTTTCTTGGCTTGCTTATTTCCGTATGTTTCTTTCTTGGACATTTTTTTGTGCTGGTTTGGCATGTGTAATATGAGATGAAAGTGAACAAACTTTGGCACCAAATCTTGAAGATATAATTATAGGTTTGAGCAGAAATTCAAGGTTTTCCTTTTTTTTTTTGGAGATAAATATCGTAGCAAAAAGTTTTGAACTGTGGCTCAAACCCACAAACGGGCTTTTAGCGATGTATTAAAGCAGTCTTCCAAGCACCTCTCTCTCCTGGTTATGCTTCTGATATTATAAGAAATGTGTAGATCTACTCTGTGAAATTCATTTGGTTTTAACAACAAGGTTTGAAAAGAAGAATTATATCCTTATATCATTGTTTGATCAGGGATAACTAAAATGTTGATATATATCAGAATGGTCATATTGTTTCTAACATCTTGTTTATTCTTTCAAAGGTACATCTCATCTTTGTCCTTCTCTAAAATCTTTGTCCAATAAAGTAGGAGGCATGTTCTGCCACTGTGGTTCACCAAACAAGTACAAGAGGTTGGACACAAAGCTTGAAAAGAAACTGGTTGAAGTCAAGAGAGGTTCACAAGGAGTTGGTAATTTTAAGTCAATAAACAGCATAATCATGAAGTTCCCTCAGTTCAGAGAGGAGTTGAAAAGGATAAGAAGTGTCTTTGAACAGTATGGTAAGCTTCACTTGTTTCCTTTGCTCTTTCCTAAAAACTTTTTCATTTCAAAATGTTAAGTAAAAAAGTGACTTTAGGCAACTAGGACCAAGATAGAAGAGATAGAGTTTGGAGAGAAGTACATAACCAAGATAGAAAAATAGAACGACCACACAGACAGAAATAGAATCACAGGAGAGGAAAGATTATTATAGACAGAGAAAAAGAACAGAACATTAGAGGAGGAAGACCTATAATCTCAAAATTCATTTACCCATCATTTTCTGAATTGAAATTACAGACTACCATATTTATAGGTAAATTGAGTAACAAATTAGGAAATTAACAAAAATACGGAAACTCGGTAATGAAAACTACACTAATAACATAAATTTTGAATTAAGTAAATATAATATTCTAACCTGCATTAGTCTCTTTTTCTCTCTTGCAGATGAAGATTCTAATGGCGCTATTGACCGCGTGGAACTGAAAAACAGTTTACAACAACTTCAGCTCCAACTTAGCGAGGAGGAAGTTGATGATCTTTTTCATTCTTGTGATATTGATGGGAGTGAGGGGATACAATTCAATGAATTCATTGTTCTTCTTTGCCTCATTTATCTCCTAAAGGACCAACCTTTATCCTCTAATATTGTACTAACAGTCAAACTTGGTGTTTTAACTTTTGCTTAAGTTCATGACTACATAATACTAGCTGTTTTCATCTAGTCATTGCATCTGATTACTTCTTCGATGTGTTTCAGATGTCGAAAATGGGGTCGCCACAACTTGAAGCAACTTTTGATACAATAATTGAAGTGTTCTTATTCCTGGATAAAAATGGTGATGGAAAACTGAATAAGAAAGACATGGTCAGAGCACTGAATGATTCTAATACTTCTGAGAGATCCCCGGCACACATCACCAGGAGCCGATTCAGTAATTGTTTGTTTTACTTTTCTTTTTGTTTTCCTTTAGTTATATTTCTCAGGACACGAACTTACTCTTCCTCTCTCTAATCTTATCTCTTGCAGGAGAAATGGATTGGGACAGAAATGGGCATGTCAGTTTCAGGGAGTTCCTCTTTGCTTTCATTCACTGGGTTGGAATCGAAACCGACGAAGAAATGCCCGTTACAGGAAGTTATCATGAGTAGTGCATTAGAATATTTTTAAGTGGAATAACTGTTTAAAATGAAGGCTGAATACATGCAAACATCTCAAACATGTCAGTCAAACGGTAGCAATTAATTCATGCTTAGTTCTTTTATTGTTTCTTTGGAATTTTGTTCTGCACTATTTTGTGACTAACAATCATATTAAATAAGTGATATGATATTTTCTTTTCCAGAATCTATTTCTTCTCTCTAGATAGACAAAACACGAGTAATTTTATATACTACACAAACTCTACTAAATACATCTAACTCAAAAGTGTTTACATAAAGTTTATGAAAGAAAAAACATTAGTTAAAAAACTCTCCATATTCTGAAAAGCATTGTTTACATAGTTTATATTTCACGTCCTATCATATTACGTCAAGATTTTCATTGTATTCCTAGAGCTTGTATTCTCTTAACTAAGGACAGAGAAGCAGCATTCACTTGTTTCCATTCTTCAATAGTCTCAATTTTCCGGCATTCCGTGAAGCACTGGTCGTTCCCGTCGAGTATATCAACAATCTGCCTCATGCTTGGTCTTGATTTGGGATCAGATCCTGTGCATTCAATTCCCAATTTTACCAGTCTGATCAGTTCTTTGTGATTGTACTCTCCATTCAATCGAATATCTGCTAGTTCCTCCAACGGTCTGTTTCGTGACACAAACTCGTGAACTCTCTTCACCAGCAGCACTTCAGGCTGTCGGAAGTCCACCGCCATCTGTCCACTAACCGCCTCAAGCATCACCACGCCAAAGCTATAAACATCACCCGTTGTGGTTGCCTCGCCTGATAGTATGTACTCCGGTGACATGTAACCGAAAATCCCATGAACTGATTTTTTTCTGTCAATCACTACATGATGGCCATGCTCATTTCGTGCCAAAAATTCAGCAAGAGCGAAAGAACTAAGCCTCGGATTCATGTCTGAATCAATGATGACTGCAGAAGAGGTAATGCTTCTATGAATAACTTGTTCATCCCATTCCTCATGAAGATAATGAATAGCAGAAGCCAGTGATTTGAGGATGTTGTATCTGTGATGCCACTGCAGGATAGAATAGCCAGCTCTATTGCCATAGTGGAAAAGCAAGTGGCTTAGAAGGCGATTCACCGAGTAATCATAGACAACAAGCATTTCCCCTTGCTCGGTACACCATCCACGGAGCTGCACCAAGTTCCGGTGTCTCAGCCTTCCTAAGTTTTGCAGCTCATTTGAGAATCTCACCCGCAGGGCAGGACACGTCTTCATGCCAAGGCGTTTGACAAGAATGTGTTGACGGTTGTTGAGGAAGCCATGGTAGGCAGTTCCAAAGTCAAGCTCTGCCATCCTTCTCAAGTCAGAGAAGTTATCCGTGGCGGAGACGAGCTCTGCAAAGGATATTTGTCTCGGAGTTTGGACCATGGGAAAAAAACTCGCTCTGTTTTGGAAGCTTCCCCGAGAATTGTTGGTTGCATCACTGGTTCCGTTCTCAGCTGTTGCGTAGATTGTTTCCTCTTTGGCCGTCATAAAATTCGATGAAACAGAAGTGGATGTTGTGGTGATTGTTATTGTTGTGGTGGTCGAATTGCCATTGCTTGAGCTTGTATTGGTTGGAGAGGACAAAGAGACGTATGGAGGATGAGACTGAAATGAAGGCAAGGGTGGAAGTGTTCCATGTAAATTCCCAGAAAGTGCTTCCACAACCCACTTCATATTTGGCCTTAATTTCGGATTGTGGAGTGTGCAAAGCAAAGCAATATGGATCAAACGCTCCATATCAGAAAGGCCATAAGATCCGTCTTGCAGCTGAGTATCCCCTGCTTGTAAAAGCTTTCTCTCGTCCGATAGCCTCCGAATCCAATCCAGCAGAATGATTTGGTCGTCATCATACGTGAGATCCACCGCCCTCCGACCCGACACCACCTCCAGAACCACAATCCCGAAGCTGAAAACATCCGATTTTGCGGTGGCAACGCTCCTGCTCCTTCGTTGGAAGCTCTCAGGCGGCAGGTAACCTATGGTGCCTCCGATTTTTGTTGTCTCAGCCAGCCTAAACCGGTGATCTTTCATTGATGAAGGTGTCACGGCTTCGTGATGCTCAAACTCAATCTCAAGCTCATGTTCCAACCACCTGGCCAAGCCAAAGTCGCCGAGCCTCGCGTTGTAATGAGAATCGAGCATGACATTGCTCGCCTTCACATCCCGGTGAATGATCTGCGTCTCGAGCTGCTCGTGGAGATAGAAAAGGGCTGCAGCCAATCCATTGACAATTTTCCTGCGGCGATCCCAGCTCAGAAGTGGTGGTGATCCCGTGTTCTCGGGTTTCTTGAAAAGTATTCGATCAAGGCTGCGGTTAGGCATGTAGTCGTAGACAAGTAAAAGCTGATGATCATCATGAACACACCACCCTCTAAGCCTCACAAGGTTCCTATGGCGTAGGTGAGCCACAGCAGCAAGCTCAGCCACAAAAGTCTTCTCGAACCTCTCTCCTCTCTCAGCCAAGCATTTCACAGCAACCGCGGTTCCATCGCTCGGCAAAACTGCCTTGTAAACCTTGCCAAAACCTCCACTCCCAAGAACTTCATTGTCACTAAAGCCATTGGATCCTATGTAAAGCTCAGAATAGCTGAAGATCCTGGGATTGTCCCCACCAACCTTGTCTGCGAGTTGTATTCCATCTGTGTCATGAAACACACCCGACTTATTACGATGTTTTCTTGATCTTTCATGGTGACAAAATCTGACCCATTTGGATTCATAGAGACCAGATAGAGAATCCTTGATCAGAGCAACAATTTGGCTCCCACAGCTTCTGTTTGAATGTTTTTTGGCCTCTTCTTTTGCGGGTTTTTTGAAGTTTTTGTTATCCGATGAAGATTGGTTTATTTCATCAAAGTCTGCAGGTAAAATGATGCAGAGCTTGTTCAGCTGCATGGTGGTGTTGGTGAATAATGGCTAGGGAGGCAAAATTACTAGTTGGACATGAATGAAATTTTAATGAAAAAAATGCCTCAGAAAGGCCCCTTTTATGTGTTATATAGTATGGTCCTTTTATGTATAAAAAACGTCTTCTTTTAGGCTTTCTGGTGGGCTTTGATTTTTAAATTTTTTTTTTTTTTGGTATATTTGTTTATTCAACACGCTTAGGTGTCCATGGTTGAATTGTGTTCCATTGAACCTGCCAAATTAGAAACTATTTGCCTAATTATAGAATTGTAAAAGAAGATCCTTCTGATCTCCTTCAAACAAATTTTAAGTTCTAGAACTTCCTAAAAAAAACTCTCTTCCTACCATTGAGAATTGCTTTTCATACTCGCATCTTGGTAGCGCGTGGCTACACGCTCCGGATAAAGCTCATGACTCTTGACCAACATTGCCAAATTTGCCATCTTTGCCTCTCCTCTAGTTGTTTTGTCTTTTGTTGTTGTTGATCTGAGGAAGTGGGGTCGTTTAAACCTCTCTTGTTTTGTTTTTATTTTTTTGTTTTTTTGTTTTTTTTCTTTTCCATTTCTTGTTTATTTTTATTTTTTCTTGGATAGGTAAGTATTATTATTTTAATTATTAAATTAATTTTTTAACAGTTTAATTAACTAGTGCTAAGTTAAAAATTTGAAGTGTGAGGCGCAGATTTTAATTAAGAATTAAACTATTGAAAGTAATCTAACAGTAAAAATAGTATTATTCACCAGTAGAGTAAGGAGATGTTTGGTTAGACGATTTAAATTATAATTTAAATTATAATTCATAATTTATTATAATATTTTCTCTTATAAAAAATACACATAAATTAAAAATAATTCTAATCACATAATTTTAATTTATGAACTAAATATCTCTTAAATATACTCTTATCATAATTTTTGCTCTTTTTATTTTTTATTTTTGAACTGCTAGTTGTCTTGTTTTTAATTCCAAAAAGCAATAATTTGATGATGTACCGTGTTACCAGTAAAAGTGATTTGTGAATTGTGATGCAGTTGGCATTTATACAGCTACTCACAAAATGTACAAGAATTAAATGCTTTTTCCTTTTTGCTATTGTCATTAATGTGAAGGATGATAATTAATGAAAGACGGCAAGAACAGTTGGGTCTTTTTTCCTTTTTTTTTTTTGTTTTTTTTTTTTTTGGAAAATAGACTCCCGCATATGTTTATTTATTTATATTAGTAGAAGTCTTTCTTATAGAGACTCCCAGTGACAAGACTCCTGCTAATTAGTTTATGTAAAGGTTTAAGTTTTGCAGTGTGTTTAGTAGGGTGAAAAAGAAAATAAAGAAAAAATTTTATAGAGAAAAATAAAATTTTAAATTATTTAATACAATAAAAATGAGAAATGAAGAAAAAGAAAAATTTATGAGCATTATTAATTTTTAATCTTTCTAACTTTGAAAAGAAAATATGAGGAAAAAAATTTAACCAAAAAATGAGATGTAAAATAACAATTTTAACATTCACCATTCATCATATTTTTATTTGTATAGGAGTATTATTGTAAAATACCTTAAATTTGATTTTTTTTCACTTTTCTTTCTTTTCTACTAAATAATATAAGAGAAAATCATTTTACTTCCTTCACTTATATATTTTACTTCTCTTTCTTTCTTCTTTTCTATCTGGTCTTACCAAACATAACATTAAAGTTAGGTATGCAAGTACCACTTGTTAAGATAAAAGTAGTGCATAAGTACATTTTGGCCTTCTGAAAGATTTGATGACATTTGTATATTGTCACTATCTTGTCACACAAACATTAGTTTAGGGTTCAACAACAATTTGAAAAATTAAGTAGATTCGAATGAACCTATTGCAAGTGACAGGGTCAAATTAGAACATATTATGAATAGTAACTGTTCAATTTAGTTAAAATTACGATGCAACTCAGTCAAAGTTAATATGTAAATCAGTTAAAGTTATCGAATAATTATAAATAGTAAGTACTGTATAAATAGTAACCGTAAATAGTATTAAAAATTTTCTTATAAATAGAGTTCTAAAACTCTTCATTTTGTATACTTTTACAAGATTAATAAAACTCACTCTCTCTAGTTTCTCTCTCTAAAATTTCTTTTCTTAATTTTCATAACAGAACCGAAATTGTTTGATCGATTAATCAAGCCACCCTACACTGAGTTTAGCATTCATTTCTATATTTTGGTGGTCGATTCGGAGCCAAACCGGACCGATGACTAACTCATGCATGCATCCATGTACCTTCGTGCGCATGCATATGTATATTAATTTAAGTATTTTACGTTTCATAGTTTTGCTTCCTTCAGTCTACTCGTTCGTCTGCATCCTCTCCACTCCCTCAAATTTCCACCACTAAAAACCAAATCGAAACATACCATTTTCGATCGACGTTCAGACAGCGTTTTCCGGCTGCTATTTCTCGGCATTTCTCCAGAACTGGCCGGTCAGTTTCAACCATGAACGAACAATCCTATCACTAGTTATTGATTAGTCCTATGTGAATTGATTAAATGAGAATGTATTTACCAATTATAAGGAAACAACCTTTTGACTATGTGCCCCAAAACACAAACATGGCTAATTTCGAAGAGAAGTTCTTCTAAAAGTGAAATTGCTACCAAATTAAAGGATGATTGGGAATCTCAATTTTGATTATGAAAAAAAACAAAAGACTTGAACTAGAGGTGTGAAATAGATAAAATGTTTCCGTGATTGATAGAAAGTTGTCATGGCTAAATTCGAAGAGAAGTTCTAAAAGTGAAATTGCTTCCAAATTAAAGGATAAAAAACAAAAGAGTTTGAACTAGAGGTGTGAAATGGATAAAAAGTTGTCGTGATTAATGATAAAAAGTTGTCATGGCTAATTTCGAAGAGAAGTTCTGAAAGTGAAATTGCTTCCAAATTAAAGGATGATCGGAAATCTCAATTTTGATTATACAACAACAAGTCTTAATCATAATTTAACCGGAATCGGCTATATAAATTTTATTTTTTCACACAGTTCTGTTCGAAATTATATTTTTTTAAAAACTAAGATTTAAAATTTCTTTCTTAACAACTTCAGTCCACGTAGTTCTTGATCTACTCCTCCCTCTCATAGTATTAAGTATAAAAATGTCCTTCTAAATACAAACGTATACTTCTAACAGTCTACGTTGAACATGTTTAAATCACCTCAAATGACCTTTGCGCACCTTATCTTCAATTTTGATTACGAAGAAGGAAAAAAAAAAGACTTGAACTAGTGGCGTGAAATAGATAAAAAGTCGTCATGATTGATAACACCTGAAAGGCTGAGATCCATAAACTGATGCGCAATTCGTGTGGGTTCTATGCAAATAAGTCCTCTTTTGGCTTAACTATGACAAGGACAGTGGGACCACCCAGAGCATGAATGTCAAAAAGGTGTGTAAAAGTTAATTTGTTCCATTTGATTGTGGGATAATGTTGTTTGTAATTAGATATTAATTCCTCTAAAAAAACGATTAACTTACTTAATAATTACATAACGCATGGATTGGGTGGTTTGGAGTTGGTAATTGGGTTGCCTACTTTTGTTTCATTTTCTTTCACATTTATCTCAATGTCTTTGTGTTTCTACTCAAGAAAGAAACGGGGAAAAAGAAGACTTCTGGTTTCTTTCTTAGCTGACCTTTTGGTTGAATTTGAGAAACCAACTCCACCTGCAACAAAAAAAAAAAGGTGCAATTTATGATCCTCACCTGTATTAACTATATAGCAATTTCTGTCAAATTATGGACATCATTGGCGTAATATAACAACACCATAGGTGATGCAAAACATGTGTAACATAGTATACATATTTCGGGTGTTTGTATTTATATATCTATATATTGTGTACATATAGAGGTTTTCACTCGTATATTTGCAAGAATGATAAAATAGCTCCACTTGAACAAAGGGCAAATTGCATTTGTTTACAGTACTACTCTGCATATGGTTATGTTTTTTTTTTGTTTTTTTGTTTTTTTTCCCCCTTGAAAAGGATATATATCCTTAGTATCACCCCATTATTCATTTCCTTTAATTTATAATAGAAATCTAAGAGCCCATCAATGTAATAGAAATAACTTGATTGAAGCCTTCTCAAAGAATAAACTGGAATTCACTTCTACCAGACCTTAAGTCAAACATTATAGTGAAGTTATCAAATTTTGAACTCAACAGCCGCACTATGTATACTTGGTCTCCTCCTTATATGGTTGGATAACCGACCAAATTGCCAAAGTCTTAAGGTATTAGACCGTATATCCAATTGCATATACAATAAATTGCATTAGATTTCATTTTATATTCATTCGAAAAAATTAATATACATAATTCCAAGGGGAGGTTATATCTCATTTTCTTAGAATACCAGTGGATTGGTATACTGTTAGGATCCTGGTTAAGTCCTATATTATTAAAGTATGGACTTAGCATGTTAATTTATAATTATTTGGGCACCATCTCCCTACAAGCTAGATTTTAGGGATGAGTTCTATCCAAGAGTTATAACAATTGGTATCAAAGCATACCCCACTTCATACCCAAATTGATAACAATTTGACCAATTATTGAATTGAATTGAAGACCTAAATTGAAATCCCAGAATGAGATTAGGGTTTTTCATTCTACTGCATGAATGTAAGGTGATGTTAGCGAATAATTGAAATTGAATAGAAATTGTCTTGATGAAACTTGTATGTTCTAGTGTTCTTTTATTATTAAAATTCTCTTAAAACTATTTTACATATTTTTCTTGTCATATTATTTATTTCGTCTTTTTAATTTCAAAATATATCAAAGTATCAATTCTCTAAATAAAATTAAGAATATTAAATTTCGGTCATTATTAAATTAGTTTATGAGGAAACGATACTTTACTTTTATTATATTATTTGTGTGATTCGTACGCTAGTGAAAATCACATCAACTTGATATAATACAATTAATTTAAACACCATTTAAGATATTAAAATTTGACAGATAATTAATCCTCCATCTTATACGATACCTGCCCCTATAGCCATAGTTGAGGCCTCA